TAAGACACCACCGATGGGGGCGTAGAAAGTGGATGCGACCCCTTCTCACACACAATACCAATTATAATACATTTATTAGTTTTGATAATTGAGATAACAATATGTATGCAATCGCACCGACAGCACAAGCGGCCGCTAACATCTCTCCAGTTCTCGACTCGTTCTCATAAATGCCTTTGAATGAAGTGATGAGTTTGGATAACAAAGTGGCCACAATTGAGGCCACGTGAACGAACCTATCGGTGCACACCGTTTAGACAAATACATTAGTATTTGCAATCAAATCATTATCAATAATCTATTCAATACTAACGGTCCCTCTTTACCCAATGGTAGTCCACTGCCTAATGTTGAGGTCAGACCTAATACACACATCATTTGCAATTGAAAAATAAAAATTGTCTTTCCATCAGTAAAGTTAAATAACAAATATTTTTATATTTAATTTATTCTTAATTTAATGTAAAATACTAACAATAAAAATTGTTTCAAGTAAATATGAAATGTAATTATTAAAGATTCAGAATATGTATTTATTCAGTCAAATATGTTATATAATATTTATTAACATCGGCCAAATATTTACTTAAATATTTATTTAAAAATTTTAATATTTAATATAATTATTGATTGATGTATTCTATGTATAATATAACAAAAAAGTATAATAGAAATGTTGAATAGCCTTTCGAAACTTACTTAAAGGTTGTAGGTTAAAGGTCAAAATATAAATTTGAGATATATTAATTATTTTCAATTAGAGTGGAGTTAATCCAATGATATACTATCCTTCCATTATGTCATACATCCATTTATAATTGTATTTGACTTATTACTAACAAAATTTTACAATTTAGACATTTTAAACTAGAAGTTTCAGGTAAATTAACAATTTTTATGCTTTGGGCCACATATTAATTTTTAAATACAGTATGTATATTTATTTAAATGCAAAATAAAACTTTGTTAAAATTGCCCTTATTATGTAATTCGTTTGCCCCCAAAGTCCCAAACGTAAATCTCTAACCAGTAAATACATTTAAAAACATATTCTGAAAGTCTTTAGTAATTATATTAAATAAATTGTTTTATCAAATACCTATCATTTTAGCGACTAATGTGCGAAAAGTGAGGTATTCGTTGAGAACAACTCCTGTTTATAAAACAATGTAATTCACATTTATTTCATTGCATATAAAACTTATTTGATTTATTCTTTACCCCTTAATATAGTTTTCATTTCAGGAATTCCCGATCCGACCGCCTATTTGAACAATTATAGGGAAATAATGTTACAAATACTCGTGTAATGCAATATATGTTAAATTGAATGCAATTGTAAACCGAAAACAAATGATCTGATATTTAATAAGAGCTGACCTGCGGTGAGACGATGTGAACAAATCCGGAAGAAAATAAAATTAATAGTAAGGGTAATGAAGTCCATGCTATGTATTTGAACGCTATATTATCGCCGGTTAGGTCCTCGTAGAGCCAAAGGCGAGTTTTTGTGCAAATGTTTATGCAATCTATAAAAATGTCTAATTGTTTTACAGTAAGGGTAATGAAGTCCATGCTATGTATTTGAACGCTATATTATCGCCGGTTAGGTCCTCGTAGAGCCAAAGGCGAGTTTTTGTGCAAATGTTTATGCAATCTATAAAAATGTCTAATTGTTTTACATATAAAATATCGATAGAGTTGTCTTACAGTCCATAATAAAGCTCAAGAGAGCCATAATAATGCCTAATAGTGCCAGAAAAACCCAATCCTCTCCTATTCGGGCGAATGTGTGTCTCCAGAAGATTGTTAAATATGCTATCGTTTCAAATATTTGTATTAGAAATCAATTGATTTTAATTTATAATCATTAGTAAAAACACTACTATGTTATATCACTATGAGTAACATTACACCATACATCCAATGCAGTCTATTATTGTTGTGTTAAACTATTAAAATTAATATTTAGCATGTTAAGTTATCTTGTGCCTTTGGTTTATTATTAAAAATTTGTTATACCGTACATATGCATTATTGAAACATTAATTTAAAAATATAAATATTATAATAAAAAAAATTTACCATGTATCACCAATACTGTATAACAAATGTACTGTATATTTATAATATTATTTTGTGTTAACTTACAATATTAAATATTAAAATTATATCATATTATAATAAATAAAATTTAACTAGTTAAGTATGATGTAAAAATTTTGCTTTTACTTTATTTAAAGTTTAACATTATTACCATACATAAAATAATTAACAACTTTAATTAACAACTTTAATATAAGTTACATATTACAATCAATATGTTAAATATTATTACGACAAAGAATCATGTTATAAATTATGCTTTCTTTTTAAGAGTTAAATATCTGTTGAGTTTATAAAGAATTTTATTTTATAATAAAAAATCGTTAAACAGTATTTTATACAGTAATTGTATTTTTAATAAGAAAAACAAAAAATTATAAAATTCAATATTTTTAATTGAAATGACAAATCAACAATGTTGTATTAAATATACCGCACATTAATAATTAACAAACCCGCAAATCATTACAAAAATCTCTATTGTTCACACAACTAATTACACTTTCTATGTATTTGAAAACGCATTATAAATTGTGACGATTATTGACATCACCCACCCTAAGACATCACCACAAGCAGATCCACACCACAAATAAGACAATATCTCACCACAGTTTCACTCAATTCTCAGAAAAACACACTCAAGCACTGCAAAGCACACACACATTGATTCAATTAGCATTTGACCCACATTTGGACCCAAACTCACCCTTTTATGACTCGCCCGAAGGCATCACTTCCCATGAAAACAACTCATTTCAACACATTTCACCACTCAATTCAACGCAACAAAATGAATATGTTTTTTATAGTTTAACCATATGTAATTTTAATTGTAATTATAATTATACACATAACTTAATTATATAAAACATTATACACATTTTGCCA